GTTTGTATCCTTGGGGAGAGGAGGGAGCTGAGAGAGGGGATGGGCGTTTGTGCCACTGCTGAACAATTCTGGTTGTCTGCTGAGCATCTGGGCATGTTTGACAATGATGCTCAGAAAAAATGTGAGTGATTTCACAGTGATCAAACTGAATCTGAAAGGACTTTTGTGGCTGCACCACATCATCATCATCATCATCACCATCATCATCATCATCATCACAACAACAATTTTCTATCTCTGTTTATTCAGAAGGTGCTCCTTCTCCATGTCTTTGTCTCCTTGCATTTCCCACTCTCCCCTTCCCTTCATGTTTTTGTCCAAGAGGAGGAGGTGGGTGGTAAACATTATGTAGCTCTGGAACCCCAGACAGTCCTCCTGACATGCACATGATGTTGCGGCCAAGAGGGGGCACTGTTGCCTCACATTTGGTGATTATACTTTTCAGCAGGTGGGGGAGGGGAAGGAAGATAAGACGAAAAGAAGACGAAAAGAAGAACTCCAGGGGTACCCTGCAGCAGGCTGGCGATGAGTGAATGTTAATACGATGGGGAAAAACAGGTGGGAGAAACTGCAGGTGGCCTGTCTTCCATTTTAGGAGCCGATTTGAAAGCAGAGGAAGACCTTTATATACAGACAAAAGGAGGGAATCTATGCCCCAAGCAAAGGAGAATGATTTGTGAGGGCTTTCAATTCCTTTTTCATTGGTGTGTCCAAATGTGCACTTGCATGCATATGGACACACATGCTAGGGTTGGCAACTCTGGCTTGGGAAATTCCTGGAGATGTGTGGGGGAGGGGAGGGGTCTGGGGAGGGAATTCTGCTGGGGTGTGATGCCAGAAGAGCCTGCCTTCCAAAGCTGCCATTTCCTCTAGGGGAGCTGATCTTTCTGCCCTGGAGATCAGTTGCAATTCTGGGAGGATGCCAGGCACCACTCTGAGGTTGGTAATCCTAACACACACAGAGAGTGATGCACATACATAATCCCCCCCGAGATTATTCCACCCCTTTAGTTTGGGACAGCTCCCCATTTTGATCATTCATGAAACAATTCAGGGACTTAAATGCTGTGCTGGATTCCCTCCCCCCCTCCCCCCCATCATGTCCACAAAACTGCGGATGGGAGTGATGGTTGATGCAGAATCTGAGTATTGTTACTGCAGCAGTCTTGGCTGGTTTTTTAAGCTCCGTCTTACAGTCTGAACATATGGATATGTACACCAACATTAACCCTGAAGATCACTGCAGCTGAGTGTAGGATAATAAATTACTTGGAGTTTTGAATATATTGGCATAGAGTGGCAGGCCGGTATACCTTTTTGTTATATCTTTTTGAATGGATAGATTTGAGGAACAAAGACAGCAATTTATTGCTGTCAATTAAGACTTGGGACTTGGACTATAAGGAAGGCCGAGCGCCGAAGAATAGATTCTTTTGAACTATGGTGCTGGAGAAGACTCTTGAGAGTCCCTTGGACTGCAAGAAGATCAAATCAGTCAATCCTAAAAGAAATCAACCCTGACTGTTCCCTGGAAGGCCAGATAATGAAACTGAAGCTCAAATACTTTGGCCACCAAATGAGAAGGGAGCACTCACTGGAGAAGACCCTGATGCTGGGAAAGATTGAAGGTCAAAGAAGATGGGGACGGCAAAGGATGAGATGGTTAGACAGTGTCATCGATGCAACGAACATGAAATTGAGCAAACTCCGGAGCACGACAGAAGACAGGAGGGCTTGGCGTGATGTGGTCCATGGGGTCGCGAAGAGTCGGACTCGACTGTGCGACTGAAGAACAACAACAAGACTTGGGAAGGCACTCTAACTTAGGAAACATGGTGCAGAAGGTCTCGACTTCAAGTCCGCCATTTGTACTTATTTATTGACTTCATTTATACCCCACTTATACCACGACGGGAACCCAAAGCAGCTCATATTCTTCTCCTCTCCGTTTTATCTTCACAAAAACCCTGTGAGGTGGGTTAGCTTGACAGTGTGTGACTGGCCCAAGGTCACTTCCATGGCAGAGGGGAGATTCAAACCTGGGTATCTCAGCTCCTGTTCTGGTGATCTAATCACTACACCACAATGGATTGCAGGACTTAATGAGTCTTAAGGGAACGCTTCTGCCAAAGGAACTGGAGAGCTTTTGGGGTTGAACTAAGTGCCCTGATGGTTTGACTCATGACAAGGCAGCTTTATGGGTACCTATGACCTAGAAATGCTCCCCACGGAATCCAGAGCTAGTGAATGTCTTTCCCCTTGTGCTTGAGACGGAATCATTTCATGGGAAGGGCTTTTATCCGAGAAGTGGTGAAGGATGTCCAAACATCAACCAGTGAGCATCAACCACATTTGCATACATTCTGTTTGCAATGTTTAATATATGTTCACCAGCTCATTGACCTCATGGATCTGATGAAGTGAGCTCTGGCTCGTGAAAGCCCATGCCAGAATAAATGTTAGTTGCTGTAGATTTTCCGGGATGTATGGCCGTGGTCTTGGCATTGTAGAACCTGACGTTTCCCCAGTAACTGTGACTGGCATCCTCAGAGGTATAAACACAGAAAGATGGAATACTCTCTGTGTCAAGGAATAAATATTATTTGTTAGCCTCTGAAGTGCCATTGGACTCCTGATTTGCCACCACAGACTAACATGGCTACCCCTGTGGAATTTCCCTCCACTGTCTCTAGTATTATAATAGCAACCCTAAACAGTAGGTCTTGTGAGGTGAGAAGCCCTCTCATGGATCTTGTTTTGAGTCAGTTCCTGTGACTGCACATCACCAAGAATACACATTTTATTTTGTTATATCAGTAGATTCAGATGGTCTCAACATCCTCACGACCTGGTATTTCCCTCCTTTTTTTCCTCTATAGGACGAAGAGGATAGTACTTTTGATAAGCTCTACCAACTTGGTAGAGTCCGTTTGGTGTAGTGGTTAGGAGCACAGACTCTAATCTGGGGGAACCAGGTTTGATTCCCCACTCCTCCACATGCAGCGGCTGGTGTGACCTTGGGTCAGTCACAAGTCCTTTCAGAACTGTTCTCTCAAGAGCAGTTCTTGAAAGAGCTCTGTCAGCCCCACCTACCTCACAGGGTGTCTGTTCTGTTGTAGGGAGGGGAAGGGAAAGGGATAGGAGATTGTAAACTGAGACTCCTTTGCTCTGAGACTCCTTTGGGTAGTGAAGGGCAGGGTATAAAGCCAACTCCCTCCTCCTTGTCTTTGTCTTCCTCCTCCTTCTCTCTGCAGAATTAGAGGTAGGCATGATGTAGAACATCAGTGGCCAGTAGGTGGTGCTGATAGCTCACCATTGCCATTTATTTTCTCTTGGAAACTTCTGTAACTTTGCTGCACTGCATTTAGAGGAAGAAGGTGAACAGAAGGAACACTACAGGACTCGGGATGCTGCTGAATTTTTTAGGCTTGCCTGGTTCAGTTCAAATATGACTGTTTTAGTTTTGTTTTTCCTTTTGGTGAATCACCCCCCCCCCACCAGGGCAATCATAATCTAGGATGGACCCTCCCCCCAATCGCTGCCACCCCACTTCTGGCCTCCCCTCAGTGAGACCAAGAAAAACGGCATGCAAGGTGGGTGAGAGTGACGGCTGCTGGTGGAAACCAGCTGCTCAAGCCCCAGACAGGGCATGTTCAAGCTGGGGCAGTAACCTGCTCTTCTCCTTCTTTTCTTCAGTGGGGCAGGGCTGTGGGTGGTTGGGGTCCCCTAAGTACAAAGACAAGGAGACCCTGAAGGGGGCAGCAAGAACACAATTAGATGAGATAGTGAGGTCAGCAACTTCTTGTTAAGTGTCCTTCCTTGTCTATCTCCACATTGCTACTCTCACAGCAGCTCCCCCCTTCTTCTCGGAAGTGCCACACTCAGTCTTACCCCCTCTCTCAGCTACAGATGTAATTAGGAACCTCTCTCTGTCTCTCCTCTTTCCTATCAAGTATATTAGTTCCTAAATAAACCTTTATCTACTCTTTAATCAGGTTGTGCACCGTTGCTGTGTTAAATTCTCTGCCAACAGCTGCCTCTGTTGCCCATTGGCTGAGACTGCCCCTGCCTGACGCTTTATCTGTTGCTCCACTTTCTATGTTGTATCATGCTGATTTGTATCGTGTAAAATGTATGTATTGTGCAGGTTTTGTGTACATCAGAAAACAGGCATTATACATTAGAAATATATTGTGCGTATAAATAATGACCATTGCACTATTAGTTGCATCATAAAACTGTAAAAGAAGTGGGTGCATCCCCAGTGGAAGCAAAAATAGGTGAACTGAAAATGGCAACGTATGGAAACAAAAAGAAAGAAAAAAGACCCATCTACCCATCACTAGGAAGGACCCCAGGTATGCCATACAGACAGCAGGTGACAGGACCACAGGAAAACTGTAATTACCTTGTTTGTTTCGTAGCTTTGAAAATAAGACAAGTGTCTTTGAGCGCAAGGTGCCAACCTCTTGGGCTTTCTTCATACACTTCTAAAACGAGAGGTTCAGTGGCTGAATCATAGGACTGAAACCCTGATCCTTAATCTGTGAGGTGCTTTGGATTGTATGGGCTAGCTGAATAATGTGAGGGGGGGGTATGGGCTAGCTGATAATGTGAGGGGGGGAAAAAGCTCTGCAGATGTTCAGATACCTGATCTTCCGCCTTATGGCTTTGTGCATTCCTGGACTGACCCCTGTGGACTGAAAGCAGGTTCTGGGACTCAGTCTTGGACTGAACCATTTTAAATACTGCTTCCGTCTCCACCTTGAACCTGGGAATGTGTAAGTGAGGCCAACCTTGCTGACCTGTGAGACCCTGAAATCAGAGACATGGTGCTTCGACAAACAGGATACACCTGCTTTCCCTCGTGTTGTCCTCCTGCCCCTCCTGGGCCTTAAGAAGAAGTTCAAGAGCATTTCATTTGCATGAGGGGACTGATGTCTGGATCTTTGGGGTGTTTAAGAGAGACTGAGGGGATGGCAGTCAGAGATCCCATAGCCTACAGAAGATCTGGTTTCCCCACCATGGCTCACACCCTGCTTCTCTTCACCATCCTAATCTCTGCTGGTGAGGGACATTTCCTCCGGACCTCCCAAGCCTTGAAAATGTTTGGCCCTTGCTCTGCTGTGAGATAGTTTAATAAGCTTTTCCATTCTCTGCTTTGTTCTTCTAGGTCCTAGTCTCCAGAAACTGCAGTCCCTGAAGTCCTCAGAGGTGGTGTCTCCAGGTGGGACCGTCACCATCTCTTGCCGGCAGAGCAGTGGAGCCGTCTCTGATGGCAACTACCCTTGGTGGGCCCAACAAAAACAGGGGAATGCTCCACGTGCACTGATTTATGCTACCAGCAGCAGACCATCTGGGGTCCCAGGTCGTTTCAGTGGATCAAGGTCAGGGGACACAATGTCCCTAACTATCACGGGGGCCATGGTTGAAGATGAAGCTGACTATTACTGTGTTGCCTGGATTGGGAGTGAGTGGCACAGCAGTGCATTCAGATGGGGAAGTGAGACAAAAACCCTTCCTCCCTCCTCTTCATTCTATGCATTAATAAAAGCTGAACCTGAATGCAATTTTTTGGTGTCTGTCTAATATTTGTGAATGTCCACTGCACCTCCAACTCTCATCCTGCTGCCTGTTTTCTTGAACTCAAGGTCTCATTCAGTATACTAGGTGTAGAAGTGATGTTTTTCATTCATACAAAGAAAGATTAAACTGAAGTTCCTCTCTCCCTCTCAGCCCATTCTCAACTCAGAGGGGTACCCTGGATAGAATATTTGGCTTCTTTATTTGCTTAATTTCTTGCCACCTTTCTTGCTGAGACTCAAGGCAGATAACAAAATTAAAAATAGCATAAAACACACAATGAAACCACACAATAAAATGGGATTACAGATTAGAAAATGGGATTACAGATTAGAACATGGGATTACAGATTAGAAAATGGGATTACAGATTAGAAAATGGGATTACAAATTACAAATTAGATTATAGATTTTAGATGTGCAATATTTGGTGTTTCTTAGTGTGATTTGTAAAACTATAAAAAAATAGAAAACCACACAATAAAACAAGATAATAATACAATAAACAGTGCAGATGAAATTAGCTAATCCCCCCCCGTCAATGTTAAAACTATAACTTAGGGATAGGAGAGAGATTCCTTATTGTGGGGTTCCTTCCCTGCAAATTTCATCTGATTCAGAATAGAAATAAATGGAATGTGAATGGAATGGAAGTGAATGGAAATTTGTCCCTTGAAATCAATGGGAATAGAAGAAGAACCGAATCAGGGCTGAGAAAAAGGGCTTGGCATGAAATGAAACAACTTGCTGAAATTAAGGCAACAAAAGAAATCAAGCCACCAAAGGAAGTGATGGAACAATCTGTGCCTTGCATCCTAAGGAACATCCTGAATAAGCCAGTTTGGTGTAGTGGTTAAGTGTGTGCACTCTAATCTGGGAGAACCGGGTTTGATTCCCCACTCCTCCACTTGCACCTGCTGATATGACCTTGGGTCAGTCACAAGCTCTGGCACAGCTGTCCTTGAAAAAGAGCAGTTTGTGTCAGAGTTATCTCAGCCCCACCCACCTCACAGGGTGTCTGTTGTGGGGAGGGGAAGGGAAAGGAGTTTGTAGGCCGCTCTGAGACTCCAAGTGAAGGGCGGGGTATAAACCCAATCTCTTCTTCTTCTTCTTCATCATCCACATACACATTGCACACGAATGTACGTGATGGTCCCATTTGACAGGAACAGCTACTAAGGAGGATGGTGAGAAGCAGCAGGTTGATGGTGGTGGCAGGTAACCTTTTCTCTGCTTGCTGTTACTCCACTGTCAATAAATCCCTTCTGAAATCTTTTCCCAGTTTGGTGTAGTGGTTAAGTGTGCAGACTCTAATCTGGGAGAACCAGGTTTGATTCCCCACTCCTCCACTTACAGCTGCTGGATGACCTTGGGCAAGCCATAGTTCTGTCAGAGGTGTTCTTGAAAAGAACAGTCTCTGTCAGGGCTCTCTCGGCTCCACCTGCCTCACAGGGTGTCTGCTGCGGGGAGGGGAAGGGAAAGGAATTTGTAAGCCACTCTGAGACTTCGAGTGAAGGGTAGGGTATAAATTCAACCTCCTCCTCCTCCTCCTCTTCCTCCTCCTTCTTATTTCCCATTGTTGAGCTTCTGTGCTCACCTGAAAGTCAATGTTTTGGCAGTGTTCTTGAAGGACTGTCCTTGAGAAAGGGATCCCACAGTCAGGGGCCAACCTCCATCTCTAAGAAGAACCTGTTTCTCATACCCAGACTCTCCTTGGATGATATTTCTGCATGTGGATAGGCCTACAGCCAGCCTTATTTGCTAGCTGGGCAGCTATATGTTAAAGTGGGGGTTCGAAGGACTGAATGGGGAAAAAAATCCGAGGTTCATGACCAAAGAGACCTCTAGAATCCTCTGACCGAGCCCGAGTGTCTGTGTCCTTTAGTTTCTTTGATTTTTAGTGTAAGAAAACAAACTGAATAAGAACAGTGATTTGGAAGTCCAGAGCCTTTATCATGGACCCTAACTGTAACCCAATAGCATCCTTAAGTTAGCCTGTACACTCTTTAAGGGTCCTACCATGCTCACAGCCCTAGAAATTTAAGGGAAGGGTTTTTTGGGACAAACCAAACTTGGTGCTGGTAGCTCCCTGGCTGGAGTCCCAAGGTCCCCCTTTAAAAACCTTGTACCCCAGGGTCTGATTCTGGATAGGACTGCAATATCTGGGATTAACTCCACATTTTCTCAGCACTCGATTTGGTTCCCCCTTGCCTCGGAATATCTGTTTTCATTGCATTGCCTCGGATCCTAGTTTTTACATTGGCTACCCAATAAGTCCTGTGTCAGCGTGCCATCTACTTTGTTTTCAAAGCTCGCTCATGCATTGGTATGCAGATTTCCTGTGTCAGTACTTGCCCCAGTGTTCATTAGCTGCCTGAGCCAAGTAATTCACTGTGTGGTAATAAATACAGAGGGGGAAATCGGGGCAGGGGAACTGACAGTGATCAATCAATGAAGCCGTGTCAAGTTGTCTGCTAACCCTTTGAATCAGAAGCAGGGGAAGGAAAAGGTGCCACTCAAAAGCACATTCAGATACCCCGGGGCAACACCATACTGACTGCGAAGTCACCCCTGAATGGCCATAAATCTATGAAGAAGGTACCATAAAACCTGATGAACAAAGCAAGTGAAAGCAGTATGCAGTGTGCAAAGGGAGGTTAACGTCCAGATGTGGCTGTGGAAAAACTGTGAGGAAACATATGGGTGCAGAATCAGCCAAAGGGTGATTTAAGTTTTCCTTCTGCAGCATATTCCTGACCTGAAATGGCCCCATGGAGCTGCCATTTGTCCTGCGCAGAAAACAAAATAGATACTGATTACATTAAAAACAAACAAACTACCCTGAAAGCTTCCTTCACAGATCTCCTAGTGGCTCAGCATCACGTAAAGCCTACTGGAGAAGATGAGCTTGACAATTCATTCTAGAATAAATTTGAGTTGGACGGATCAGTCACACAGGTAGATACTGGAGCTCTGCAATGACTGCTGGACCTCCTGGTGGCACCTGGTATTTTTGGCCACTGTGTGACAGAGTGTTGGACTGGATGGGCCATTGGCCTGATCCAACATTGGCTTCTTTTATGGTCTTATGTTCTTAACTACTTGGAGGCACCAGCTCCCACCAAGTGCTTGAACCAGACATAATTGAACTGGAAAATGCCACACACACACTTTAAATTACAGAAAGACCAGGGGAGGTACAATGCACCTTCTGACTTCCACCTGACTACAGATCTGCATGTGAGAAAAAGGTGGGAAAACAGATTGTTGTGCATGTGGGTCGCCACGAGGGGTCCGCAGCACAGGCAAGAGCTTGGATCCGAGAACAATGGAAACTTCGGATCCTAGATCCCCCAGCCCCAACCAATAGCCACTTTGACAGGACATTCAAACCCTCCAATGGGAATGGGGGGTGCTGGGAGGATATGTATATAGTTGGCCCTGTCGGGCCGGTAGTTAGTCTTTGTCTGTGTTAAGTACAATACCGTGTGCTGAAGCATGTCGTCGTCTGAGTCCTCCATGCAGCGAACCCAGTACTTTTCACAGATACCACATCCTACTGAACCAGGAGAGTTGTAAGATGAGACACTATTCAGTGCTACCAATCCAGGTTTGGGGAATGGTTGCAGCTCAGTGGCAGAGCATGTCACACAAAGGTTTCTAGGCTGGGTCCCAAGAAAATTTGTCCAAAGGATCTTGAGTGACAGGGCTAGGAAGGATTCTGACTAACACCCTGGGAAGATGTTGCCTTTATCTCACATGAAGTTGCCTTAATCTGCATCAGACCTTTGGTCCACGTAGCTGGGATTCTTTGCTCTGACCCACAGCACTCTTAGGAAGAGAAAGATTGCTGAGCTTGAAACTCAAAGATCTTACTGGAAAACTGAGGGATTGAATCTGGGGCCTCCTGAATGCAAAGCAGCAGACCTGAGCCACAGCCTCACCCAAGTATCTTAGGAAGAGGCCAGGGACGTTGCTTGCAACCGATGACTAGGAAGCACATTTGCACATATTTGCATCCTCTCCCTCTGGGGGCTTAAGAGCGAAGAGGAGGACCCAGATTAGAGAATCCTTTGTATCAGGAAGCTTTCCATCTTCATCATGGCCGAGACCTCTCTCCTTCTCATCCTTCTTTTTACTTACGGCACTGGTAATGAAGAAGCTTTACATCCAAATTCTATCTAATAACAGTGAATTATTTCTCTTTATTTACAAGAAATTGTCTCTTTCTCTGTTTTGGGATTTCTTCCAGGTACTTTTGCCCAGTTCGTATTGACTCAGCCGCCTTCTTCATCGGCATCACCTGGAGAAACCGTGAAGATCCTCTGTACCAGGAGCAGTGGAGGTATTAGAGACAGCTATGTATCCTGGTACCAACAGAAGCCCGGCACTGCTCCCAAACTACTGATATATCAGTTCAGCAACAGATACTCGGGAATCTCAGACCGCTTCTCCGGCTCTACGGACACTTCTGCCAATTCTGCCACTTTAACCATCTCCGGCGTCCAAGCAGAGGATGAAAATGATTATTACTGTTTATCTTATACTAGTAGCAACCAGTGCACAGTGGTACAACCTCATGGGGAAGTGAGACAAAAACCTCCTTTTAGGTCACAGTCGGTTGACTGAAGGCTTGGGGCTGTACAATATCTCTGTAAAATTCCTTTCATCCTCTCTTATATTACTACAACAATCCTAAGCATTATACCTTGCTGAAGCCCATCCCCTCCAGATATCCCTCCCCCCCTCCCCAGGCTCCACCACTCCCAGTCTTCAGAAGGTTCCCAGTCAGGAGTTGGCAACTCTGTCCTCCAAAGTGAAATTCTTAGAGGGGAAAAAAGATAGCAATACCAGTCTGCACATGGACCCCCAGTGATCAGTGTGAGCTAGCTCACAGTTTTTTTTAAGCCTCCAGCTCACACGTTTTTGTCTCAGCTCAGGAAGGATGGCTCCAAAGCAAACTAATTTATGCAGGAGCCAAATCGCTCGCTCACAGCTTTAATGCCAGTAACTCCCGATGTAGACTTTTTGCTTACAAGACTCCACAGCTTAGAGGGAGCTTTGGTGGCCACCACAGTCACCTCTGTTTTATCTTTGCCCTTTATACCGCCCTAAAGGCAAGCAGATGTTGCTCCTTGAAAGATGCATTTAGCATCTTTGCTTTGTATGGCATTGGGTCTGAAGGCACCGGAGGCGTGTTCTACTGCTGGTTAGTGCTGTGGGCAGACTTTGGAAATGGGGCTGGGGCGGAGAATGTCAGCTGCCCTGGTGTTGCACAAGTTCAGGAGAACCTGATTATGTGGACTATCTGGGGAAACCTAAGAGGCACACTGTGTTCACATGTACATTTCCCAGGATATTTTGTATGTCCTGTACAAGCCATGTGGGGGAAGACTGGGAAGAGCAAGTTGCAAGAAAGACTATCCTCAGGCCGGGGACTGTCCTCTGTTTGAAGAGCCAGTTGTTTCCCCTTTGAAATAGTTATCATCATCATCGTCGTCATCATCATCATCATCATCAACAACAACAATTTTCTGTCACCATTTATTCAGATGATGTCTTTGTCTCCTTGCATTTCCCACTCTCCCCTTCCCTTCATGTTTTTGTCCAAGAGGAGGAGGTGGGTGGTAAACATTATGTAGCTCTGGAACCCCAGACAGTCCTCCTGACATGCAGAAGATGTTGCTCACGTCAGCCAAGAGGTGGCACTATTGCCTCACATTTGGTGATTCTACTTAAGAAAGAGCAGGTTTTTCTGTTGATTTTACTTTTCAGCAGGTGGGGGCGGGGAAGGATGATAAGACGATAAAAGATGAAAAGAAGAGCTCCAGGGGTACCCTGCAGCAGGCTGGCAATGAGTGGATGGTAAATAAATAAATAAATAAATAAATACGAGGGGGGGAAACAGGTGGGAGAAACTGCAGGGGGCCTGTCTTCCATTTTAGCAGCTCATAGCAGAGCAAGACTTTTCTATACAGGCAAGAGCAGGGAAACTGTGCTCCAAGCAAAGGGGAGTGATTTGTGAGGGCTTTCCATTATTTTTCCTTTTGTATGGATGTGTCCCCATGTGCACTTGCATGCATATGGGCACACATGCTAGGGATGGCAACTCTGGCTTGAGAAATTCCTGGAGATGGAGGGGTGGTGTCTGGGGAGAGAATTCTGCTTGGGTGTGATGCCAGAAGAGTCTGCCTTCCAAAGCTGCCCTTTTCTCCCTTGGGAAACTGATCTTTCTACTCTGGAGTTCAGTTGTAAGACTGGGAGAATGCCAGGCACCACTTTGCGGTTGGTAACCCTAACACACAGACGCACTGAAATATACACCCCCCCCCCCAATTATTCCACCCCTTTTGTTTGGGACAGCTCCCCATTTTGATTTCCTGAAACAGTTCAGGGACTTAAATGCTGCGCTGGATTCCCTGCCCCCCTCCCCATGACCACAGAACTGTGGGTGGGACACAGAATCCGAGTGTTTTTACGGCAGCATCCTTGGCTGGTTTTTTAAGTTCTGTCTTACAGTCTTAACACATGGATATGTACACTGACATTAACCCTTAAGATCACTTCAGCTGAGTATAGGGAAATGAATTGTTTGGAGCCGCCAATGAGTTTTGAGTATATTGGCACACAGTGATAGGCCAATGTATCTTTTATTATATCCTTTGAAATGATAGATTTAAAGGACAAAGATAACATTTATTGCTGTCCATTAAGATTTGGGGAGGTGCTATAACATAGTCAGAGGGAAGATGGTGCAGAAGTTCTCAGCTTCAAGTCTGCCATTTGTCCTTGTTTATTGACTTCATTTATACCCCAGTGGGAACCCAAAGCAGCTCACACCCTTCTCCTCTCCATTTTATCTTCACGACAATCCTGTGAGGTGGGTTAGGCTGAGAGTGTGTGACTGGCCCAAAGGTCACCCGGTGAACTTCCATGGCAGAGCAGGGATTCAAGCCTGGGTCTCCCAGATCCTATTCTGGCCATCTAACCACTATACCGCAGTGGCTTGCAGGACTAGCGGTGGGTTGCAGGACCTAATGAGTCTTAAGGGAACACTTCTGCCAAAGGAACTGAAGAGCTTTGGGGTGGAACTAAATGCCCTGGTGGCCTGACTCAGGACAAAGCAGCTTCCTGTGTACCCATGACCTAGAAATGCTCCCCAGGGACTCCAGAGCTATGCATTTCCCTCCCCTTGTGTCTGAGACAGAATCATTTCATGGGAAGCGCTTTTATCTGAGAAGTGGTGAAGGCTGTCCAAACAACAACCAGTGAGCATCAACCACATTTGCATACATTCTGTATTCTCCTCTGGGCCCTTAAGAGGAATGAGAAGGGCTCCATTCAGAACAGCCTTTGCCTGGTGAAGCCAACCTTGTCCCATTTCCCTACCATGGCCCAGGGTCTTCCTCTCCTCTTCCTCCTGTTCACCTCCTGGACTGGTAATGGAAGCCATTGGTTCTCCTGATATAAACCCTCTGCCTTCTTTTTCTCTTGTAGTGGTAACATGAGGTGTATATGCATCTGAACACAGAGTTCAGTTCTAGGTTTGCTTCCCTTTTCTCTCTGCTGTAGGGCATGCAAGTCTTAGTAAGAAGAGCCTCTCTTTGTTTTTGGGCTTTCTTTCAGGTGCCTTGGCCCAGGGTACACTGACTCAACCACCCGCTGCATCTACATCCCCTGGAGAAACAGTGAGGATCCCCTGTACCAGGAGCAGCGGTAGCATTACAAGCTACTATGTGTCCTGGTATCAACAGAAACCCGGCAGTGTCCCCAAACTGATGTTATATAAATACAGCGAGAGACCCACAGGAATCCCAGACCGGTTCACCGGTTCTACGGACAGTTCTGCCAACTCTGCCACCTTAACCATCTCCAACACTCAAGCAGAGGATGCGGCTGATTATTACTGCTTTTCTTATGTTGGCAATGACCAGTGCACAGTGAGAAAATCATATGGGGAAGTGAGGCAAAAACCTCCCTGCAGCAGTCTGTGGACTGAAAGGTGGAGGTTGCAGCTGCCCTCCAAGACAAAACAGGAGTCCAGCGGCACTTCAGAGACCAAACAACTTTGTTCCCATGAAAGCTTTCATGAGACAGATGCCTTCATCAGACGCCTGAACCCATGTCATTCAGAATGGAGGAGGATCACTCTCAACCACTGAGAAGCAGGCAAAAGAGGATTAACCTAACATCTGATCCCCTTGGAAGGTACAGGATAAATCCTGAAAAGCAGGTCCAATTAAATAGCTGCAGAATTATAATGGGACTACTTAACATGGCCCAGACGAGGCTGATGTCAGATCTTGGAAGCTAAGTAAGGTTGGCCTTGGTTACTACTTGGATGGGAGACCACTAAGGAAGCCCAGGGTTGCTAGGCAAAGGCAGGCAATGGCAAACCACCTCCGTTCATCTCTTGCCAGTTTGGTGTAGTGGTTAAGTGCGTGGACTCTAATCTGGGAGAACCGGGTTTGATTCCCCACTTTTCCACTTGCACCTGCTGGATGACCTTGGGCAAGCCATACTTCTGTCAGAGCTGTTCTTGAAAAAAGAGCAGTTTCTGGCAGAGTTCTCTCAGCCCCACCTACCTCACAGGGTGTCTGGTGTGGGGAGGAGGAGGGAAAGGAGTTTGTAAGCTGCTCTGAGACTCCTTTGGGTAGTGAAGGGTGGGGTATAAATCCAGTATCCTCTTCTTCTTCTTGCCTTGAACCCCCTCCCCCGTGTCTCCATGAGTCATCTGAAACTTGGTAGCCCTTCCTACCACACTTAAAAGTTGGGATATGTATTATGTAAGAACCTACAACAAATGAGAAATCCCAAGTTACTGTTAAGACCTGGGGGGAAGATGATGTTAAACGTCTTGGTGAATTCTAATTCAACAGTTTTGTGTTGGATTCTCCATTTGATGTTCATTTGCAGGGGACTAGGAAGTGGATGGATTGCTTTTTTGACTGGATCTTGCACTGTAAATTGTTAAATGACATTCGAGTGGAATTTATAGAAGCCCCCCTTAGGTTGGTAGCAGGCCTATCGGATAGAATCAAGGTACAATTTCTCCTTGCTTCACGAGATCCAGAGATCATTGAACTGACCGCTAAGTTTCTCCATGGTTTTATAAAACGGAAGAGTGACCCTGACCATATTAATGATTCTTAATTTATAAGTCTAAAAACTTAAGTTTAAAAGTTTAGAATGCCAATTTATTTTATGATTCAGGCATCTTTTGTATGGTCAAATCTAGCTTGTGACAACTTGAGTTAGGCCTGACATAGCCACGACTATTTATTTTATAATTTCTTTTGGATTGTATTATTGGTAAATGCTTCTAATATTGTATGCCAATAAAAGGTATTTGAATTGAATTGAATTGACTGGATCTTGTTTAAACAAGAATCTCTTTGTAATATCTCCCCCCCTCAATTGTTTGCAGTGTTTAATATATGTTCACTAGCTTCATTGACTTCGTGCATCTGATGAAGTGAGCACTGGCTCATGAAAGCTCATGCCAGGATAAATTTCGTTTGTTAGCCTCTGAAGTGCCATTGGACTCCTGCTTTGCCACTACAGACTAACATGGCTACCCCTCTGGAATTTCCCTCCACTGTCACTAGTATTACAATCACAACCCTAACCAGTAGGTCTTGTGAGATGAGAGGCCCTCTCATGGATCCTCTTTTGAGCCAGTTCCTGTGATTGCACATTACCAAGAATACATATTGTATTTTGTTATATATCAGTAGATTCAGATGGTCTCAACATCCTCACGACCTGGTATTTCCCCCCTTGTTTTCCTCTAGGAGGAAGAGGATGGTACTCTTGATAAACTCTACCAACTTGGTAGAGCCAATTTGGTGTAGTGGTTAGGCGCATGGACTCTAACCTGGGAGAACCAGGTTTGATTCCCCACTCCTCCACATGCAGCTGCTGGTGTGACCTTGGGTCAGTCACAAGTCCTTTCAGAACTGTTCTCTCAAGAGAAGTCCTCAAAAGAGCTCCCTGAGCCCCACCTACCTCACAGGGTGTGTGTTGTGGGGAGGGGAAGGGAAAGGAGATTGTAAGCCACTCTGAGACTCCTTCGGGTAGTGAAGGATGGGGTATAAAGCCAATCTCTTTTTCTCTCCTCTACAGAATCAGAGGTAAGCATGATGTACCATAACAGTGGCCAGTAGGTGGTGATGATGGCTCACCATTGCCATTTGTTTTCTTTTGTAAACTTCTGTAAGTTTGCTGTACTGCATTTAAAGGAAGAAGAGAAGGAACACTGAAGGACTTGGGATGCTGCTGAATTTCTCAGGATTGCCTCAGTTCAAATATGACTGTTTCAGCTTTATTTTTCTTTTTGGTGAATCAACCCCCCCCCCAAGACCTGGGCAATCATAGTCCAGGATGCCCCCCTCCAAATGGCTGCCACTCCACTTCTGGCCTCCCCTCAGTAAGACCAAGAAAATGCCATGCGAAGTGGGCAAGAGCGATGGCTGCTGCTGGAAACCAGCTGTTCAAGCCCCATGTTCAAGCAGGGGCAGGAGCCCACTCTTCTTTTTTTTCTCTTTCCTTCAGTGGGGCAGGGCTGTGGGTGGTTGGGGTCCCCCAAGGACGGGTCCCAGGGCAGCTGCTGTTGGAAAAGACAATGCCTGGGGTACAAAGAAGAAGAGAAGGAGACCCTGAAGGGGGCAGCAAGAAGACAATTAGATAAGATAGTGAGGTCAGCACTTTCTCTCCTGTCAAGTGTCCTCCCTTGTCTGTCTCCAGATTGCTACTCTCAGGGCAATTCCCCCCTTCTTCTCGGAAGTGCCACATGCCCTCTCTCTCAGCTAGAGTTGTGGTTAGGAACCTATCTCTGTCCCACCTCTTTCCCATCAAGTATGTTAATTCCTAAATACACCTTTATCTACTCTTTAATCAGGTTGTGCACTGTTGCTGTGTTAATTTCTCTGCCAACAGCTGCCTCTGTTGCCCATTGGCTGAGACTGCCCCTGCTTGATGCTTTATCTGTTGCTCCACTTTCTGTGTTGTATCATGCTGATTTTTATCATGTAAATGTATGTATTGTGCAGGTTTTGTGTACATCAGAAAACAGGCATTATATATTAGAAATATATTGTACGTATAAATGATGAACATTGTACGTATAAATTGCATCATAAAACTGTAAAAGAAGTGGGTGCATCCCCAGTGGAAGCAAAAATAGGTGAATTGAAAATGGCAGCATATGGAAACAAAAAAGACACATTTGTCCATCACTAGGAAGGACCCATACATTTAGCAGGTGACAGGACCACAGGAAAGCTGTTGGGAGAATCTGTAGTGACCTTGTTTGTTTCGCAGCTTTGAAAATAAGGCAAGTGTCTTTGAGCGGAAGATGCCCACCTCTTGGGCTTTCTTGTTCCTCCATACACTTCTAAAATGAGAGGTTCAGTGGCTGAATCATAGGACTGAAACCCTGATCCTTAATCTGTGAGGTGCTTTAGATTGTATGTGCTAGTTTAATAGTGTGAGGGGGGGAAAAGCTCTGCAGATGTTCAGATACCTGATCTTCCGCCTTATGGCTTTGTGCATTCCTGGACTGACCCCTGTGGACTGAAAGCAGGTTCTGGGGCTCAGTCTTGGACTGAACCATTTTAAATACTGCTTCCGTCTCCACCTTGAAACTGGGAATGTGTAAGTGAGGCGAACCTTGCTGACCTGTGAGACCCTGAAATCAGAGACATGGTGCTTCGACAAACAGGATACACCTGCTTTCCCTCATGTTGTCCTCCTGCCCCTCCTGGGCCTTAAGAAGAAGTACAAGAGCATTTCATTTGCATTAGGGGACTGATGTCTGGATCTTTGGGGGGTTTAAGAGAGACTGAGGGGATGGCAGTCAGAGATCCCATAGCCTACAGAAGATCTGGTTTCCCCACCATGGCTCACACCCTGCTTCTCTTCACCATCCTAATCTCTGCTGGTGAGGGACATGTCCTCCAGACCCCCCAAGCCTTACAAATATTTGGCTTTTGCTCCATTGTGGGATAGTTTAATAAGCTTTTCCATTCTCTGTAGGTGGTGTCTCCAGGTGGGACCGTCACCTTCTCTTGCCGGCAGAGCAGTGGAACTGTCTCTGATGGCAACTACCCTTGTTGGGCCCAGCAGAGACAGGGGAATGCTCCACGAGGTCTTATACACAGCACCAGCACCAGACTACCTGGCATCCCAGACCGTTTCAGTGGGTCGAGGTCAGGGGACACGATGTCCCTAACTATCACGGGGGCCATGGTTGAAGATGAAGCTGACTATTACTGTGTTTCCTGGATTGGGAGTGAGTGGCACAGCCGTGCATTCAGATGGGGAAGTGAGACAAAAACCCTTCCTCCCTCCCTCCTCCTCATTCTATGCATTAATAAAAGCTGAACCTGAGTGTATTATTTTTTCTTTGGTCTGTCTTATATTTGTGAATGTCCAATGCACCTCTAACCCTCATCCTGATACTTGTATTCTTGAACTCAAGATCTCATTCAGTATACTAGGCACAGAAGTGATGTTTTCCATTCATACACAGAAAGATTAATTTTCGTATCTGAAACTGAAGTTCCCCTCTCCCTCCCTGCCCGTCCTCAACTCAAAGGGGTACCCTGGATAGAATATTTGGCCTATTTATTTGCTTGATTTTCTTGCCACCTTTCTTGCTGAGACTCAAGGCAGATTACAAAATTAAAAATAGTATAAAACGCACAATAAAGCCACACCATAAAATGGGATTACAAATTAGAAAAAATAATTGTAAACTTAGATGTGCAACTTTTGTTGTTTCTTGTTGTGATTGGCAGAAATATAAAATAAAATATGAGAAAACAACACAATAAAACAAGATAATAATACAATCAACAGTGCAAATGAAACTAGCTAATTCCCCCCTCCCACAGATTTTAAAACTATAACCAGGGATAGGAGATAGATACCCTCCTCCCCCATGTTATTCAGCAACATGGCAAGATCTCTCTGCCTCTACTGTGCACCTTGGCTTAGGTCCCCCATAGAATCATAGAGTTGGACAGGACCTCCAGGGTCATCTAGTCCAACCCCCTGCACCATGCAGGAAATTCACAACTATCTTCCCCCAACTCCCATTGACCCCCTTCTTTATGCCCAGAAGAGGGCAAACCCCCCCAAACTCCACCACCCTCCAGGATCCCTGGCCAAATTGGCCTGGAGAACAATTACCTCCTGACCCCTAAGTGGCAATCAGCATTTCCTTGGGGTTCCTGTGTTTTGGTGTATTTCACCAGAGGGTTTTGTGTATAGAAAGGAGGATGTTTGTCAACTCCCCTCCCCACTGCAGACCTCTGACTTCCCCAAGCTGACCCTAGGTGACGCTTGTTCACCCAGGAGCAGAAGTTGCATGTCATTCTGGAGTGTAAGACAGAGGAAACTGCTGGTGGATCCAAGCTTTTGTCAACAGTGGTGTTCAAGGACAGCCACAGCTGAGTGTTTGGAAACGTGCCAGTCTGTGTCCTGACATGGCACAGCCCAGCTTGCTTTCTTCCTCAAAGCAGAAGTGGGTGAACGACAACTCAAGCTCCCCGAAGCTGTCCCTGGACGTCCCTTGTTCTCCCAGGAATGCAAGCTCATTTCCCAGGACTCATGAGGTGGGAAAGGAATCGAGGGAGACCTGCCTGTGGGTCACAGTCGGTTGACTGAAGGCTTGGGGCTGTAGAATGTCTTTGTAAAAGCCCTTTCATGCTCTCTTATATTACCACAACAATCCTAAGTAAATGATCTTCAAAGAACAGTTTCACTTGCATTTTTAATATTTCTAGTCAGCCATTTCTCTACTGTTCCTGCAGACCACTTTGTAAGCTAGAGATCATCCTTCCTTGGATGTAGGTCACTAGGACAAAACCGCTGTCAGCTTATCCGTGCATCAAGCTGTGCCAGTTTAAGTGTGATGGGGTCTCTCTAAGTGTTGTAGGGTTGCCAGCTTCCAGGTGAGGCCTGGAGAATCACAAGAGATCAGTTCCCTGGAGCAAACGGAAGCTTTGGAAGGTGGATCTCTATGGCATTATACCCTGCTGAGGTCCCTCCCCTCTGCAAACTACCCTTTGCAAACTCCTGGTCTGAAAGAAGCCAGACTGGCTACTGCCAGAGCCAGGGCTTTCTCAGTGGCAGCTCCACACTAGTGGAATGAGCTCCCGGAGGACACCAGGGCCCTGCGGGACTTCTTACAGTTCTGCAGGGCCTGTGAAATGGAACTCTTCCACCAGACCTTCGATTAGGAGCCGCCACTGATGAGTTTGCCACTGAAGAACGTGCCCTAGAACATCTTCTGACCTGGGACCCTGCTGGATGCTACTTTTACCACTGGGCTGACTTGGAACATCGTTATCATCTGACTTTGTTGGATGCTATCCCTACCATTGGGTTGATTTGAATACTGCCATCATTTGCTGTTTTTATCTATTGATGTTAACTGGGATGTTGTTTTTTACTGTCTTAACTTTGGATTGTTTTATGATTTTGATCTTGTTAGCTGCCTTGAGCCAACGTGTCCGGCAAGGCGGGATACAAATAGAAACAATAAATAAATAAATAAATAAATAAATAAATAAA